TTTTCCCTCTCACTCACTCTCCCTCTCACTCACTCTCACTCTCACCCTCTGCGTGTGTGTGCGCCTCCGCGAGGTTGCCGCAGGACACTCCCTGCGGGGGCATGCGGGGTGGCGCGTCTGTTGACTGCGCCTTCCCTCCTCTCTGCTTCTCTCCACTTGTTTTTTTTGTTTGTTTGGTTGATTTGCTTTCGCTTGACAGACGACTGTTTATGTGCATGCTGTGCCCTTGATGTATTTTTGCTTGCCATGCGCCGGCAGTCGCTGCGGGCGCCGCCACCTTCGCGTGGCGGCTGCCTTGCGGTGTGAAGGGTGACCCGCCCGGAAGGCGCCGCTGCAGCCCAGCGCCCGCCTGAGTGTTGGACGCGGTGGTGCTGCATTGGCAGTCTCTCCAGGCAGAGGACGACGGCGGCGGGGGGTGCGTCCGCTGGCTTCCTGGCGTTTGTACTCGCCGCGCAGTTACTGCGCCTTTCGTCGTGGTGTTTGTTTTTGTTTGTGGCGGTGCTGAGCGGCTCAGGTCTCGCGCAGCAGTCCGGGCTCCGCCTCGGCAGCGGCATGCGGGGCCCACATGGTTCAGTTGGCTACTCGCTGCGGAAGTGTGTTTTATGAGCGTCCCGCGGGTTGACTCCACTGAGCGGGGGGCTCGTGCTTGCGCTCGCGCCCTGCACTTGTGCGAGGCGGAGGACTTCCCTTTCACCTCCCCGGCGGAGCTGCAGGCACGAGGAGGCACGAGGTGCGCCCGTCCGCTGCGCCGACGGAAGTTTGTGTGTGTGTGTGTGATGAGGCGGCGGTTTTTTTTGTTTTTTGCGACTGGAGAGAAGTGTGTTTTATGCGTGACTTGCGAGGAGCGCGATGCGGTGCAGGGGGAGGGAATTTGCTGCCTGACGTTTTTGCCGCGGAACTGCGGGCCGCGTGCCGTCAGAAGTCTCAGTGCGCCTCCACAGGCAGCCACGCACGGCAGCGCACACGTGCAGTCGGGTGGTCGCACGTGGCGCGTTTTGCGGCTCTGCGCTCCATTTCCCACACACCGCACACACCATCGCGTGGTGCGCCTCACCTCCCTTTTCGTTTTCTCTTCCCCGTACTCACTCTGCCGAAACGTAGGGTAGCGGACCGTTGTGTGCGCGTGTTGTTGTTTTTGCTTTTTGTCTGCGGGGGCTTTCCCTTCGTCTCTGGCCACCGGGGGACGGGGGCGCCCGACGGACACCGCCACAGAGGCACACAAGTGGGCGCGTTGTTTTGTTTTTATTCGCTTTTGGGCTAGTTCTGCCCTTCCTAGATGAGTAGCGGGCAGGGGCCTTGCACGCTCGCGGAGCTGCCGCAGGAGGACCGCCTACTGCGGCGGAAGCAGCTGTCGTTGAGGCGGACGCTGGGGCGCACCGCGCCGTCCGCCGCGGCGGCATCCCTCAGCAGGCGTGTCGCCTCTTCCCCAACGGCGGAGGCGGTGGGGCGCGGCCTGTCCGCGTCGATGTCGTCGCTGGAAACGTGGCAGGCGGCAAGCACGCGGGTGCTGCGCCGCACCGGGAGTGGCAGCGTGCAGTTCACGGCGTCGTCGTCGTCGTCGTCGCATGCGCCACCGCCGGAAGCAGCAGCAGCAGCAGCACCTTCTGTTTTTCCAGGGCGCTTTCCCGCTGCGCCAGCGGCATCGGCGGCGGCGGCGGTGCGTTCCTGTGCGTCGAGCGCAGCCGCATGGTGGCGAATACCTCCCCAATAGGGCGGTGGGCGTCGTTGGACGAATGCGCGTCGCACACCGCCGACGGCTGTGGGGGCGAGCCGCGCCGGAAGTTGCGACCGAAGATCGTCAACCAACCGACGCTGCGTGAACTCTCGGCGGCCACGGCGGCCCGGGCCCGGCTGCAGCGCCTGGAGACGGCGCCCACCATGCCACAGGCCTCTCTCTCCGCGAAGGAGGAGGAGGGGATCGCCTTCACACCGTTCCGCTTTTGCGTCGGCGCCGCTGTCGGCAGCTCCGGGCAGAGGCCGTTCATCCGCCACGTGACCAGAGGGGGGCCCGTCTGCCTCGTGATGCCGTCGCTGAGCTCGCGCCGCTCCCGCGAGGACCCGCCTCTTGCGCGGACGCCGACGTCGGCGCACGGCACACGCAGGCCCTGCCCGGGGCCCACGGCCACGGCGGAGAGTAATTGGCCGACTCCGAGGTGTGCGACTTCCGCAGCCGCCCCGCGGCGACTGAGTCTGAGGGCGGTGAACGAGAACGCAATGGCCGCGCGAGCGGCACGCCCGCAAGTGGCGCACCTTCCTCGTCGTAGTGAGCCTTTCCAGCAGCAGCAGCAGCAGGCGTGGAAGGCGATGCCTGCCCTTGCGCGGGAGGAGGGTGCGGTTGCCGCCCCGCTAGACACAAGCCCCGCGACGACGCGAACGACGGGTTCCGCCCCGCTGCCTTTTGCACGCCAAGTTAGTCAGCTCTGCCTCCTCGTTCTCCAGGAGCGTGACCGCCGCCTGGACCGCCAGAGGGCCCTGCGGGAGAGCGTGGGGTCCGTTGAAGTCAAACCCAAAGAGCGGGTGGCCGCGGTGCGGCGACGCTCACCGCAGCCGTCAACGCATTCCCCCCGTGTTTCGGCTGTCGCCCCGCGTGCTAAGCTGTACACTGAGGAGGTTGCGGCGGGGGAGCAGGTGGGGTCTCCCGCAGTTGTCCTGGCGTGCGTGAGGACCGTGCTGGAAAAGAGGGGCGCGACGCGGGAGCAGGACCCTGACACCGCCACGACGCCGCTGGAGGCCGCGCACGAACAGCCCATCGCCTACGGGGTGAGCAGCAGCGTCTCCTCCAGCGAGGCGGAGGCCATTTGCAGCCGCAGTGACGTGGCGACCACCGCCGCCGCCGCCGCGGAGGACGGTATCAAGGCGCAGGAGCCCAACACCAGGAACGCGGAGGACGATAACGCCCCTTTTGCAAGTACCACCGAGGCGGCAACGATGGACGAGGATACTGCGCTGGAGGAAACTGCGCTGGAGGAAACTGCGCCGGAGGAAGCTGCTCTGGAGGAAACTGCTCTGGAGGAAACTGCCTGGAGGAAACTGCGCTGGAGGAAACTGCGCCGGAGGAAGCTGCTCTGGAGGAAACATCGCCG